AGTTGCCCTTTTCTGCACTTTTTCTAACGCTATAATATCCTTTCTGAGGTGTGGTGACCAGAACTGTACACAGTATTCCAAATGAGGTCGCATCATCAATTTATACAGGAGCATTAGGATACTGGCTGATTTGTTTTCAATTCCCTTCCTAATAATCCCGAACATAGTGTTGGCCTTTTTTATTGCAGTCGCACACTGTCTCGACATTTTCAGTGACACCAAGATCTCTCTCTTTGTCAGTTTCTGCCAGTTTGGGCCCCATCAATGTGTATTTATAGCTAGGATTTTTGGCCCCAATGTGCATCACTTTGCACTTGGCCACATTGAACCCCATTTGCCATGTTGACGCCCACTCGCCCATCCTTGACAGATCCCTTTGGAGTGCCTCACAATCCTCCCTGGTTTTCACCCCCCTGAATAATTTTGTGTCATCCGCAAATTTAGCCACCTCACTGCCTACTCCCAACTCCAAATCATTAATGAACAAGTTAAAAAATACTGGACCCAGTACTGATCCCTGCAATACCCCACTGCTTACCACCCTCCACTGAGAAAATTGCCCATTTATACTCACTCTCTGTTTCCTATTAATTTGCCAGATTTAAATCCACAAGAGGACTTGTCCTTTTATCCCATGACTATTGAGTTTATTTAGGAGCCTTTGATGAGGAACTTTACCAAAAGCTTTCTGGAAGTCAAGGTAAACAACATCTATTAGGTCCCCCTTGTCCACATGTTTGTTCATTCCCTCAAAGAACACTAATAGGTGTTTTACAAACAAGATCTTCCCTTACAGAACCCATGCTGAGTCTGCCTCAATAATTTTTGTTCATCAATGTGCCTACTAATTCTTTCCTTAGTAACAGTTTCCACCAACTTACCTGGTATTGAAGTCAAACTGACTGGCCTGTAATTTCCCAAATGTCCTCTGGAACCCTTTTTAAAGATGGGAGTGACATTAGCTACCTTCCAGTCCTCAAGAATGGAGGCAGATTTTAATGAAAGATTACATATTTTTGTCAGGAGATCCACAAGTTCACATTTGAGTTCTTTCAGAACTCTTGGATGTATGCCATCCGGGCCTGGTGATTTATCAGTTTTTAAGTTGTCTATTAGTCGCAAGACCTCCTCTCTCGTCACCTTAATCTGACTCAGGTCTTTCAACACCTCTCCTGAAATCATCGGTTCTGGAGTGGGCAAGCACTACTCATCTTCCACAGTGAAGACAGAGGCAAAAAATGCATTCAGCTTCTCGTCCATTTCCCTGTCATCCTTGAGTAAGCCTTTTATCCCTTGGTCATCCAAGGGCCCCACTGCCTTCCTGGCTGGTTTCCTGCATCTAATGCATTTGAAGAAAGTTATATTATTGTCTGCAATATGCTCCTCATATTCCCTTTTTGCCTGCCTGATCACAGACTTGCATTTTATTTGCCACAGCCTGTGTTCCCTTTTATCAACCTCACTGAGATTAGCTTTCCACTGCTTACCTATGCAGGGCTTTTTCTATACCTATTTGTGCCTTTCCTAACCTGCGGTATATATTTTATCTGAGCTTCTAGGATTGTAGTTTTAAGTAGTCTCCAAGCTTCCCCAATGGTTTTGAGAAGTTACCCCTTTTAAAGTTAAAAGTGGTTGTGCTGGTCTTTTTGGGCAACTCCCTATTTATACAAATGTTGAATTCAATAACATTATCGTCACTGTTTCCAAGCAGTGCAATCACTTTCACATCTCTCACCAGGTCTTGGGCGTTACTTAGGATCAAATCCAGGATCGCCTCTCCCCAGTAGGTTCTGTGACCATCTGCTCCATAGCACAGTCATTGAGAGTGTCTAGAAACTCAATCTCTTTTTCTCGACTTGAACACATATTGACCCAGTCAATGTGTGGGTAGTTAAAGATCACCTATTATGACACAGTTATTTTGTCTAGCCACTATCTTTCATTCATTCATCATTTTATAATCCTCCTCTAACTTTTGATCTGGTGGGCAATAACAAACTGAAATTAAGACAGTACTACCTTGGGAGCAGAAATTGGTCATTAGGACCCTTTTGCCTCCTTCCTTCCCAGCTTACAATTCTAAACACTGAAGTGTCTACTAAGTATGAGCATGAGGTTTGTTTTGTAGAACTTTTGATCTGGTGGGCAATAACAAACTGAAATTAAGACAGTACTACCTTGGGAGCAGAAATTGGTCATTAGGACCCTTTTGCCTCCTTCCTTCCCAGCTTACAATTCTAAACACTGAAGTGTCTACTAAGTATGAGCATGAGGTTTGTTTTGTAGACTGAAGATCTTCCTCACCTAACATACTAGGCCAATGGAGCTCTGTATTAATCGAACATCTTTGAAGGCACCACAATTCTTCCAAAGGTCTTGTGTTTGTCTGGCCAGTAAGGCCACTTACACTGCCTTGAATCTTTTATAGGAAGTACACAGCACTCAATATTGTGCTGGGGGTGGCTCCCTTTTTTCCCTGCCTGATCACAGACTTTGAAGGTACCACAATTCTTCCAAAGCTCTTGTGTTTGTCTGGCCAGTAAGGCCACCTATACTGCCTTTAATCTTTTATATTGTGCTGGGGGTGGTTACATAGTGTTGCCAACTCCAGTTTGGGAAATTCCTGGGCAGTGCCTGCGGAGGGATGGGTGGGAACTCAGTAAGGCATAAGGTCAAAGGGTCCACCCTCCAAAGCAGTCATTTTCTTCTGGGGAACTCATCTCTGCAGTTTGGAGATCAGTTGTAATTCTGGGAGATCTCCAGGCCCCATCTGGAGGCTGACAACCCTAATTAGCAATATGTGGATCCAGCCTTCATAAACTATCTCCGTAAGCAATGTTCAAGAGTCTAATACTATGTCACCTGTGCCTGCACAGGTTAGCCACTACTCTCTTTCATTCCTGGTCTAATAATAAGTCTCAAGAGTACCCATTGAGATAAATTGGTCAGAATCTCTCATGGAGAGCCAGTGTGGTATAATGGGTAAAGCAGTGGATTAGGACTCTGGTTGACCTGCGTTCAAATCCCCACTTCTACCACGGAAGCTCACTAGGTGACCTTGGGCCCGTCACAAACTCTTAGCCTGGCCTACCTCACAGGGTGGTTGTTGTGAGGGAATGGAGGAGGGGAGAACAATATTCTATCCCGCTCGGAGTCCCAACTGAGAAGAAAAGTGGGGTGTCAACAAACAAATGCAAATCTACCTCATTTTCTATAACATGAAGTGTCTGAAAGGGAAGGAAGAGGCAGGCCATCGCATTCAATCCAGTGTCAAATAGCTACACTCAGCCATTTTGTTCATGGGCTGCCGTAACAGCAACAAGGGACCCCGTGCTCTACTTACAAACTTGAGGAGAAAGGTGTTCTCTCGCAGAGCTCCAATGCATCCTGCGAAGCCCAAGATGAACATAACTCCTCCCACCACAACAAAGAGCCAAACGGGATCAAAGCCTCCCAGGTCCGTGATGGAGGAGATGTTCGACAGCACGCCCTGCAGAGGGACAGAAACAACATGAACAGATCCCAGATGCATCCGGCTTATCTGTGCTTACAGCTGATCTTCGTTTTGGGGTTTTTTTCCCATCTAAACAAAGAAACCAAAACAGACAAACTGATGTGCTGCCTTTGTGCCCAAGAGAGATAAATAAGTGCAAAAACTGATGTTTCCTGTCAGGTCTTTTGTGTTGAAACATCACCACACCAATGCAAGGAGGCACTGGCTGCTTCCTCTGTGAGGAAGTGACAGGAATTGTCATTCAGCACACATCTGTACAGAATTAATCTGTCAAGGGGTTAAAGAAGCATGAATGGGGAAGGAAGGAAAAGCGACAAGGTCCATATCGGGAAGTTGGAGGTGCACAAATATAGGCTGTAAACCGATTACAGGGTTTTTTAGTGGATGAATCATTTACCCTTTTTTATGTAGACGTTTTGGCACTCAGTGGCTTGGATCCAGCAGAGCATGTTTGTGTTCCCCAGGAGCAGCCTTTGGGGGGACATTTTGGGCTGCAGGAGGCAGTGAGGGAGCAGCACTTCCTGTCCATGTAAACACTCCTGTGGATCCAAGCAATTAGTAGGAATGTTTTCTCTCATTCCGCCTTACGCCACCAGTCTGAGAAAACAGAACAGTCTCCAAAAATGCACTCTTAGCCCATAGCCTGATTGACTAAATCTCCCTGCCCACCATTATATAACTAATAAAGACAAGCAACCCCTCAGAGCCACTCCCTGCTACTTAGGGCAGGAGCCCACAAGCCTCCATCAAGCTACTACAGGTCTTCTGCACAGACAAGCAGTGTAACTAATGTTATTCCTCATGACTAAGCCTGGAACAAGATCATATATACAACTAGCATTTGTTTTAAGAAGTGCCACAAAACTTGCCTGGGAGTCAACCCGTAGCTTCCCCATATACTGCTTGTATGTTGTCATAAGAATGAAGTAAAGAGCCTTGTTCTCTTCCAACCCCTCCCATGAAGTTGGCTGCTGTGGATGAACGGTAGGGAGTCTTGTAAAGACTCTAAAGGAATTTACAGTTCCTGTCAGACTATAGTGCACTGCATGATGCAGTCTGTATCAAGTAGCCATTTACATCTTTCCCAGCTCTATGTAACTGCTCGACATTTAAGTATCCCTATCAGTATATAAGCATGCCCAATTAGCTTTTGACAAGCCCCCCTCTGACGACATTGACTGGCCCACATTAGGGGAGAGGCCTTTTGACCATTCCCAAATATTTTCCCTA